GTTTGCTGATGGTGCTCCAAGCTTCTCACAAAAGTTCCAAGTTAAACACACTAAGGAGACGTATTATTTTCGCAAAATACAATAGATTAGGTGATGTTCATTAAATATGTAGTGCAACAATTGAACATAATTGATATGGATTTTAATGGATATAACCTTCAATCTCGATTGAAAGGTTTGGAATCTTGAGTCTTGCTCTAGAAACACTAACCACAACGTGCTTAAAACCTAAACTAGGCCAAGAATACACAAGCACAAGCCTATGTAAAACTTTATAAATTTCAAATCAATCAATCATCCCTTTCATTAAAAACCAACAAAACCTAATACAACTAGGAAAATTAATCTTAAATAATAAAGATAAAGTTTTGCAAATATGATCTTTAATGCTAATCTATCTTTTAATAAAAGAATCATATACTAACAATTATATCCTAATTAATTATAAAAAATAAACCACTAAATCTTTTAACCATGCATAACTTTTGGATTGACGCCACTCAATCTCACGGTTAATAGACGACTCAATCATAATTAAAAAAAGTATTAATCATGATGCCTTTGATCCGCATCAATAATGTACTTCGTATAACATTTATGAGAACGCAAGAGTATTCATCATTCAAAAACATAATTCCTCCTTCAAAATCATTTGTTACATTATGATGTAATTTATATAAACAATGTGGCAACTAAATATAGAACTAAAAAAAATACATTAATTTAGAGCAAAGCTAACCTCAAAATATTGCAACACCTACAACATTAATAAAACGATAGAATAATACAATTTTCAATGGAAAATCTTTTTAGAACAAGACCATTTACCATTAACCCAATCTTGATGAACCCTCAACTCATGTGACCAATACTTACCCACTTCAACCTCACCATTACCCTCAAAATTTACATAATACCTCATTCCTTTCGCTTTCTCTTTTCCTATTAACTTCTTGGTTACCTTTCCTTTCCACCATCCGTCGTTCACGTAAGCATCAACTTCATCCTTGTGATCAAACCTATCAAACTCGATCACGGGCGGGACCGGTCGAAGATCGACAGCCGAAAGAAACTCTCGATGTGGGTGTAATTCATCTTCCGTCAACAAAGTGTTGTATTGAACTATATAGAGATCGGTGTTGATTTCGGATATTATGGTTGCTGGATAGAATGAATTTCGGAAGCCTTCATCTTTGCAGCATACTTCCACTTGATCTCCTCGCTTGAAACTTGACATTAAATGATGATTTTCTATGTTGGTTTTTTTTTTTTTTTCCCCCTTGATTTCGTGAATGATAGAAAAGTTTTTCTGATTTTAAAATTAGTTTTTTTTTTTTTTTTTTTTGATGCAAACGAGGGTGATTTTAAAATGGTGATCGCTATTGAATTTGCTACAATAGAATATGGTATGATGGCTCGGAAACCCTAGACTGCTTAATTGCTTAATTTGTTTATGAATAGGGACTTTTGTTTTACAGGCTAATTTAAATGTGAGATTATTTTTGTCAAAGATAAGTGAGATTCTTTACAATTTCAAAAATAGAAAAAATGATGAAATTATATCTTTATTTCTCATTCATTTTTATTTATTTATTTATTTATTTATTTTTAGAAGGAAAGATCAATTCATTAATAAGAAGCCATACGGCATCTACAAAAGAGATCAGAAATGATAAATACAATGAAAATTGAAACAAATAACAATTCTAATTCTGTAGAACTACGATCGCGAGTGAGATTTGACATTGACGAATACCCTCGTCTCTTGAATCGTTGTCCTCTGTAGCCTTGTTCTACAAGGGGGCCTTGCGATTTTGATAGTTTTTGAATTGAACAAAACCTAATTCAATTAATTGTAGTCATTGATCTGACAACTGATTCAACGCCGCACGAACCACCACCAAAAAATTAGAACTTCTGATGACAAAAGAGAAATCATCTACACCGATCAAGACCATCGTAAGGATGGGATCTATTATTATAAGCAATTAAAAAGTGATTTTGGGGCTTACCACTGATCAAGGAACAAGTGATAGCCCCTACCAATAATCACAATGGAGATCAAGGAGAGAAGGATGGAGGAAAAAGGGAGAATGGGAGAAGATTGAAGGAAAACCCTAAAAAAACTGGAAAAACCCTAACAAAAAACTAGGAAAAACACCCTCCCAAGGAGAAACCTAAAGGGAAAACCCTAGCTATTTCTCATTCATTATAATCTTTACACAAAAAAAAAATAAAAAATAATAATAAAAAAAATAAAAAAAGTTTGGCACTTCAATATGTCCGTTAATTCTTCACAAGTAAAGTTATAATGCAACCTCATAAATTGTTTTCAAAAAATAAAATGCAACCTCATAAATTGTTTTCAAAAAAAAAAAAAAAAAAAAACTTTTATTATAACATCACAAAAAAAAACTCAAAATTTCGATTTCACCACCTCATAACGGAGTTTTGGATGAAATCCGTTAGTGGGGCCATAAATGACACGTGTCAAATGCTTATTGGTTTAAAAATAATAATTTAATAAAAATAAAAAGAAAAATTTTTTAAAAAAAAAAGAGAAAAACCCTAAACCGAGCTAGCTCCACCACCAGCACCACCTTCCCCAGCCGCGCCGAGAGCCGAACCCAAGCCGCCGGCACTCCCTGCCCCTACCAATACCACCGAAACCAGCCCTTACTCTCTTCCCCCTCCCCAAAAACCACCCCAACTTCACCTAGCCTCACAGATCCAATCACGAATTCGCACCGAGCAACCCCGCTGCCACATTCGCGCGCCACTGCAGACAACCAATCCCACCTCTTCGAACCACTGTAAATACTGACTCACACCGATCCGGTGGATTGTGGTTGGTATTTGCGGTGGCTCGAAGGTGCTGGGGTTCGAATTCGTTGTGATTGTGGTTGGTATTTGCGGTGGTTCAAATTGGTTAGGGTTCAAATTTGTTATGATTGTGGTTGGTATTTGCGGTGGTTCGAATTGGTTGGGGTTTAGGCGGTTTGGCGACGGTGATGTTGCTGTGGTAAGTGGTGATTTGCGGTGGTAAAGCAAGTTTAGGGTGGTTTTCAGGGAGAGTGAAGGGAGAGTTTCACCGATTTTGGTGGGGTAGGAGTGGCGGCGGCTTGGGTTAGGCTGTCGGCGATGGGGGACAGGTGGTGTCGATGGGGGGGTGGGCTGGGTTAGGTTGTTTAGGGTTTTTTTTCTTTTTTTTTTGAATTTTTCTTCTTTTATTATTATTAATTTTTTAAACCAATAGGTTAGTGACACGTGTCTGTTGTGAGTCCCACTAACGGATTTCATCCAAGAATCCGTTAAGTGGAGGTGAAATCAATTTTTTAGATTATTTTGTGGCGTTATAATAAAAACTTTTTTTTTTGTGGTGTTATAATCAAAATTTTTGGGTTTTTTGCGGTGTTATTTTCTAAAATTTTCTAATTCTTCATAAAGATAAAAACTAATTGCATTACAAAATATCATTACATGAGAGTGAAGGATAGCTCAAGTGGTTAGAGCTTCCATCCCGATTCCAAGAGATCCTGGGATTGATTCTCACTTCTGCCCTTGTGTTTCTCTAAACACCAAAAAGAAAAAGAAAATACCATTACATTATAGACTTTATCTTTTAAGAGGAAAACATTTTAGACTTCTAAAGTACTTCATATAACGAGTAGTTTTTTATATAGAAATGTTAGACAAATACACCTATAGCTAGATTTGGGTTCAAACGATGTCCCAGGTCATTATACTATGAGATTTTACTAATTTGTAAGTATTTAAATTTTGAATGAGTTCGAGAAATAACAGTTAGATGCCTAGACATTATACCAAGAGCAAAACCAAATGACGACAACATGAACATGACTCTAGAGAGATAGCAGATTAGTTAAAATAAATATAATTATAACAAATAATTGAGCAAGACCAGGTTAATCTACTAACAATAATCAATCAATTAATCAAAGTTCTAATTCCATAAATAGTGTCAGCTCGGGTTAATCTTAAAATAAATAAATAAAAATAAAAAATTGAAGTCATCAAAGAACATGACTCTAGAGCTAGAGATGATGCCTTTCCAATTGAATTTTGGCACTTGGCCGCCTATTTACATTTTACAAAAGAAAGACTAAAAGTGGCTTAAAAAAAAAAAAAAAAAGACTAAAAGTGCGCCAATATTAAGTTGCATTTGAAGCAATTGAGACATGATCCGTTTGGCCCGCCATGATCACCATGATACCTTTTACCTCTCGCAATTGCCACAAGTTTAGAGGTGTCAATTTAAGGAATTGGCTCGGATTACGTAAGTTCGAATTAGGTCAAATTTATTTCAATGTTAAGTCATGCTAAAATATTGACAATATGAGTCAAAATCTAAAATTGGTTTTTTTTTGGGTGGTATCAAATCACTCGTATCGATCAAGTCAGTCTTTAATACCTTTACGTATAAAAGTCCAACTCTCATGATGTTTTTTTTTCCCTTATGGGCACTTTTTTGACCGGGTGTAGTTCTAACTAGATATAAATGTGTGCGATGCGTATTTTACAATTTGAAATAATTTATATGATAACTCAAACTTATATAATTTATGTTAACTTTAATTTTAATAGAAATCTAAAGGTTAAACTCCTAAGAATTGACTTATATGATATATCTATCTATTTATTTATTTGGTATTCAAACCATATAAGGCTTAAAGGGTCTTCAAACCATGCACATTAGAGCATGTTTGGTACTGTACTTTACAATATTGATAATAAAATCATTTAACTGTCTTATTACCAGTTGTTTGGTATATATAAAAGGAAACCATTATTATCAACCTTTCCAACACTCTACTAACAAATTAAATTTGTTACTCTCTTAATCCTAAATTTGATTTCAGTGACTACATTTTATTTATTTGTTTCTAATTCGGTTCTTTTCAAATTGTACCAAACATGCAAGTTCAGATAATTTGCAAATACAACTAGAGCTAATAAGTTGAAAAAACAGGGAAATAAAAAATAACCTATTTGCAATTTCTTTGTGCTAAGCTATGACTTATTAAAAAAAAAAGTGCTAAGCTATGATCAGTATCGAATTATTAGAACCTTAATTAGCGATAAAGTCAACAACCCTAAGGCATTTGGTAACCTTTGCTTATATTAGACATAAATTAGACTATCACATGCACAACTAATCAAAACCCACCATTGAAGCTTCCTGCATTAACATATCCCCAAGTTTCAATTGTACAATGGTACCATAATAATATTATTATAAGAAGTTATAGAAAAAGTCGGTGCAAATTAATCATATATAGTCTCTACATAATTTTATTTAATTGACTAAGGAAAACTAATAATTAATAGAGTAGAGAAGGAGCTCTTTATAAGATTGAAGAAGTACTGAACCTTGAAACTATATTCGGTTGATCATACATAAACTTCTAACAACTCAAACTTTCTAGTATTTTATTTACATTCATCAACTTCATTTTCTAAGAAAATAGAAAATGACAACGGTATATTCTTATATTTTCTTAATGCAATGTATTTCTTTATTTTATCTTTTACATTTTCAAGAGTTAATTAACCAATTTTTTTGTGATCATAATCATATTTTTCAGACCACAGAAATGAGAGTACACATGTGCTGCCCTGGATGTGAAAGCAAGATCAAGAAAACACTAGATAAAATGAAAGGTAAGAGTATTGTTATACCTTAAAATTTCTCAAATTTGATCCTTAATAAAAAGTTTAAGCTAATAGTAGGTATTTTGCGAGTGATTTCATACTCAAATTTAAATAATTTAATGGACGAGGATTCTATCCTATTAATAAATCATTTAATTATATTACTCGAAAATCAATAATTATAACCACCTACACGCAAATATTTATCACTCTTTATTTACTTTTATTTAATAGCACTCTTTATTTACTTTGACACAACTTTATTGTCTAAAATGCTTAATTATTTATATACTAACATTATAATATGATGTTGGATGCGATCAACGACACGTTTATAGGAGTGGACGGAGTTGAAATAGACATGGCAATGCAAAAAGTGATAGTAAATGGAATAGCAGACCAAAAGAAAGTATTGAAAGCAGTAAGAAGAACAGGGAGAAGAGCAGAACTATGGCAATTTCCATACAACCCAGAGCTAAGGAGTTTCACTCATCAATACCCAACTCAATGCCAAAGCAACGGGTCGATTGGGTCGGGTTCAACATCATATGGTAGTGGTACGCAGGCTCAACCAACCTCGTCTTACAACTACTTCAAGCATGGGTATGATGGACATGAATACCATGGCTATAACCCTTCACTTTCTTCGTCATTCGCGACTGGAAGAACCGGCGATGCGTTTAGTGATGAGAATCCTAATGGTTGTTTCATAATGTGATACCATGGATATTGACATAGTACTGTATGATGAGTGCATTTAGGCGCATAGGGTCTATGTATTTGACATGTACAAAGGAGGGCAATCTAGGATTCGGTGGTACATTTTCTTTTTTTTTTTAATGGTACAGTGGTACATTTTTGTGTACTACTATACATGTATAATGTACCATTAAAGTATAAGTTTTTCGAGTAGTACTTTTTGTGTACTATTATGCATGTAGTGGTACTTTTTACCATCATATTTTCCATCATCAAGTTCCCGTTATTTATAAAAATATCATCCTATTTGAATGCTAAATACATATGGCCTATGGGCCAATACTTCTTCCTATATGTATTATACTACTAGCTACGTTCGTTTAAGTTGGTTACATTTTTATTTTATTTTATTTTTGTTTCATCTATCTTTCTAGTAGAAAGTCGTTTTTCTTACACAAACTCCACTTATAACATTTTTTTTTTTTTTGGGTATTAATAAAACCTCATTTTAATTCTATACATAAAAGAGTAATTGTAGCTAAATTAGAGGATTGAAGTTGTGTAAACTACAAGTATATTTTCTCATTTTAATTAACTAGTCTGTACTCGTGCTATGTATTAACTGTCTAAATTATTCATAAAGTATTTAATTGATTTTAAATCCATTTTTCATTGATTGAATGATAATCTAGCATGTCTGTGCTCAAGCCGACATTTTAAAAATAATAATTTCATCAACACATCCGTGCTCACGGATAATAATTAGCATATATAATGTTTTTATTTTTTACCACCGGTTACTTTAAAAAGACATCTAATTTTCCACCAAATTGCCCAAACCCCTAAATGATGTCAACACTGTGGCCCCAACCCAGGCCACCGACGAAGACATTGACCTGTCATCACTCATATCAATGTCCGAGTTTTCTAGAAGAAGCTTAATTAACTAAGACTTGACACACAAGAATCACTTTGGGAGGTATTGGCGGTTAACTCTTAGCGCATAGCTGTTATTTGTTAGCAAATATATAGGATGAAAAAATGTACTATTATATGTATAATAGGTGACAGATGCTATGTATTTTAGAGGAAAATATTCAACCTATAGGATGGTAAAAAGTACCACTGCTAGCATAATAATACACAAAAAGTACTATTAAGACAACTTATACATTAATGGTACATTATAATGTACCACTGTTGAGTTAGCTTTTTTTCAGAAACTTGCCAAATTTACATTTCTGCCCTCCTATATGCTTTGTAAATGCATAGCAGGTATGCGCCGAGATGCACTCGGTATTGGCAAGTAAGTACGAAATTAATATTACATAGTAATAGTAATAGTAATAATAACAATAATAACTTTCATTTAGCTCTTTGTTATTTTCACTTTGGTTTATTATTAAGCCCTTTATTGGTTAATGATATATCATCCAAGTAACTACTTGTTTCGGGATTTTTTGGAATCCCTCGAGATACAGGTCTTGAATATAGCCGGACGGTCTTGTACACCTGCAAAACAACGAATATTCCATTTGACGGAATATTCGCCTCCGACGATCAAGTTGATCAAAAGACGATATAATTTAGAGAGAGAAATTAGAGAGAAGTTAGAGCAAATTGCTTATGCAATAAATGAGATGTCTCTATCCACCCCTCCCATCATAAATGATTGGGGTATTTATAGGGGTGGGAGTGTGTGCACTACTACAAAAAAGGCCAAAGAAACCTATAATAAGACACCTGTTGGTAAATACAGAAGGTCTCTTTGACATAAGAGACCTAATATTAGTGATAACATGTCTCTAAAATGTCAATGGGCCCACCACTTTTGTTGTGGGATATAGAGGGAGGGAATTAAGAGACCTATTGTTAAACTCAACGGGTCTCTTATGTGTGTAAGGGCCCACCATGACTCTCACCTTCAGTGGCGTCCCCCCATTTTCAAAAAAAAAATTAAAAAAAAAAAAGAAAAAACAAGAGCCTAAGACAGAAAGAAGAAAACAAAAACCAAACCATAACTTTTCAATTTTCAGTTTCTCTCTCTTCGAAGGCGGAAGGTCTCCAGGTCGCCATTGATTCGCCGTCGTTGTTCGCCGTGCGTGGGGTTTCAGGGGAAAGCTCGGCCAGACGCTGCTTCCACTGGCTGCTTCGCAAATCTCAAATCTCAAGTTGACAAGTTCGCATTTCGCAAATCTCCAGTTCGTTGTTCGCACTTCGCAAATTCAATTGGCCAATTCACCCAAATCAAATAGTCAATGGAGGTATATATTATGTAAATCTGAATTTCATTACTTGTTTAATTGTTTTATAGTTTATACTTTTATCGTGAATTTGTCATTTGTGTGTATTGAATTAATTAATGATTATTGAATTTTTGAATTTTGAACTGAGTCTGTCGCTCTCGCTCGTCGGCTCCACTCCCGGCACTCCGTCCCTCCGTCCGTCGAGTCGCCGCCGTCGCTGCTTCGTGATTCAGTGCTTCGCCCGTTCGTCGGCTTGTCGCTGGACTCGCTGCTCTCCATTCGACTTCGCTCACTTCGCTAAATCGCTAGACCCAATTCACGGTATGTAAATCTGAATTTAATCTCTGAATTATTAGTTTATTACTTGTTTAATTGATTTACAGTTATACTTTTGTTCAATTATTCTGGGTATTGAAGATTTGAAGTATTGAAATTTTGAAATGTGTTGGTTTATTGTCTTATTGAAATATTTGAATATTGAAATTTGTTGGCTAATTGGTTTATTACTTGTTTTTTCTTCTGTTTTTGTGAATTTATTGAAATAATGAAATGTATAGTTAATTTTGTGAACTTTTGATTACATTTTTTTCTCATGTTTTTGTGAATTTTTTAAAATGTATAGTTGAACTAGAAATGTAATGTGGTATTGTTCATTTTGAAATCTGTGTATCGAAATGCTTTTATGCAGGAATAGGAAGAGATGATTTGTTGCTAAATCAGTTGTTAAGGTTGTGTTTATGTTGTTGCTATCTAGTTTTTGACCTGAATTAAAGCCTTGTAGTTTTTTATTTCATTGATCCTCTTAATGGTGTACAGGAGGATGAGCAATTCAAGAAACTCGCTAAGCTGATGAATGGAGGGCTAAAGAATTACCCATGATGTGTTGTATTCACGTGCCGCATAAAATGATGGGATTGTTGTTGGTTTTGGTAACTTGTAAATTATTTCCAAAAGTTCTTATATACTTGTAAATTATTTCTATAAGTTCTTGTATACTTGTAAACTATTTCTATAAGTTCTTATACACTTGTAAATTATTATTCTTCTTATTTACTTGTAAATGTTACTCACTACTGTAGTAAGTTACTACTAGTGATTCAATAATAATATAAGTTTATGTAAATTTATTTAATTGTTTGATTTTGTGATTTTACAATTTCTTTCCATTTTTAGTAGAATAATTACAAAATAATAAATATATATCATCGAATTTTTATTTTAAAAAAATAGAATAAAGAGACATGTTATCTAATGTAATAGGTCTCTTAATGGATATCAAAGAGACCTGTTGCGTTAAATAACAGGTCTCTTCCCCTTCTTAAATATGTGATGTAATTACATGCAAAGAGACCTGTTAACTTCTTAAACAAGTCTCTTATTTATTACCAAAGAGACCTGTGAGCTAGAGACCTCCTATAAACAGGTCTCTTATGTCATTTACAACGGGTTTCTTTAGCCTTTTTTATAGTAGTGGTGTCATCTAGGGTTTAGTGACCTAGAATGGTGTGCTCTTTGGGGGCGCCATTTTAGCGCTTTCCTCGGGATTATTTGGGCCTCCTGATGTAAGGAGGTCTTTTCCTTATTCAGGTGCTCTCTTGTTTGCCATGTGTCATCTTCCTATTGGGACACGTGTCGCCTGCTACTGGGCAACGATACACTATTGGATTGGACCACGTGTTGGGTATATTTTTACCCTAAACATTTGCCCCTCAGAGGGATGGCTCGTACCAAACGGGTCGTCTCCTTTGATTTTCACTCGTCTAGTAACATTCGAGTACTGGGCTAATGGAGCATCGTTATTAAAAAGAGGCAGACTATATCGTCCCTCTGATCATGGGATTATCCTTTTGGGCTAATTGCCTTAGTCGGTCCGTCTGATTTCATTAGTGGACTTAAGTCTTGAAATCAGTCGGATGTATGGTGCCGCCTGCTACCAGGTGGGACACCTGTCTTCCGTATTTCTCGGGCTAATGGCTTGAAGTTGCTGACCTGGCCGTCTATTTTGACGCACCGTTTGGGCAACCGTACGTTTTCCCCGTCTATATTAACGGAAAGGTTAAATTAACCGTTTGGGCTTTTATGTTAATTTTTCAAAAAATAATCGTTTGAGCTTCTAGGCGAGAAAAACTATTTTACCATTTTACCCCCATAAATTTGCCTATAAATAAGACTTGTTTGACTTCATTTTGTCACTTAAGAACTTTGCGATTTTTAGGGAGAGATCAAAGCCTTTTAGAGTGAGAAAGTGATTTTCCTTCAACTCTTCAAGAGCTCCGCCGTGTCTTTGAACTTTCCGTTCGAAATTCTTGAGTTTTCCGGTCAACCCTCCAAGATCTTCGAAGTTTTCTACTTGTACAAAGATAACTGTCTTCTTTTCTTTATTTTTTCCTTTTCCATATTTGTTTTATTTTTTAAATACAAACATGCACAATACTCGTCTTCGTCTGTTCCTCCTCCTGAGGTCGGTCGATCGCCTGGAACTGAGGAGTCTAGAGTGGACACAGATAACTCCTCCTCTCTTTGGTGTGGGTCCGTTTGTACTGCGTACTAACTCGCCCCCACCTATTCTTCTCTATCCCTACAGTCGACCATGGCATGTACGAGACAGACGTACGAGCGTGATGCCCTAGAAATCCAAACGGCAGTATGGTGGATTCCTTAGTCCCTTTTGACCCAAGTAATACGGACGGGGAGAGTACGGGTGCCACAGTTAGTGGTAGTGCCTGTTCTGTAGTGGAGGTGAACGCCTCCTTTTCTGAGCGACTAGCTCAACAAAACACAACTTCTTAGACCTCTTCTAGGCAGGCGTCCGGGAATAATTCGGTACAATGCCTTTCCTAATATACCAGCTCAGTCCTGATGCCGAACGAGCTGCCATCTTCTAAAAGGAATCCTTCAACAAATCAGGCGGACGCTAGGTCCGGCCAAGGGGGATCGTCCGAAAAATCCCCAACAACCCTCAATCCAAACTACCAGGTTGGCCAGGCTTAGGACTGGAATTCATATCTCTGAGCCGTCCGACCTTCCCCCTCGCAACGCTCCTCCTTTAGGAAATCAAACGGACGCTGGAGGGAAGAAAGATAAGGGTAAAAAAATCCTTGGTGCCTAAGGGCACCATTGTTACTAAATCCGGCCAGGGCTCTATAGGAGGGAGCTCGACCGAGGTTGCTGCCTTGGACACAGTGTTGTCCTCTAAGTTTGTCTCGGACAGGGCCCCTGAACCCCAGGCCGCCGAACAAGAAGCTATGAATCCGGACGCCGATCAGGCTGCCAAAGAGGATAACGCCAAGAACTTCAAAGACATATATGCTTGTATGGTCGGCGACGTTGCCCTAGCTATAAATTTGAGGAGTTTAGAGAATTCCTCCAACTTGAAGAAGGCTACCAGATCGTGGCGCCGAGTCGCTTATACTAGGTGGCCGCCTAGGAAGGTAGGAGGCAAAGAAAGAAATGCTTCAGTGTTTACCGTGCCGCTTTAGAAGTGGGCCTTCGCTTCCCCTTACATCCATTCGTCCAGGCTTTGTTGGACGAATACAACA